GAAAGAGGAGGCTGAAGACACGTTTCCTCATCCGTGCCCTAGCTCAGAGTGATAGACACAAGGTTTACCCAGAGCATTCCAAATCCTAACCCTTGGTTTTTAGCCCTTCCTTTTCATTAAATTATTCAAAAAGCAGGAAAGACAGATTAATTCAACCTTGTGGTATATAATCACAAGAAACATAACTTTTATTCATAAAATGTTCATGGGACAAAAGAATTTGAATTTTCTTGCTAGAAGAAATATACTATTGGGTTGTCAGAAAAATCATGGCGCATTTTTTGCAAAGAAAAACAGAAAAAATACATCATAACTTTTCCCAATTTTTTAAAAGATTTATTTAATTTTACATATTCATTCACTTTTAATTTGACAGAGAGAGACACACAAAGAGAGAGAGAGGGAAGTGAGAAAGCAAGCCACCATGTCCAGGACTCGAACCATGGTCAGCCAGGTAGAAGTGTCTAGCACCTTATCCACCACTCACCTGCTCATCCCTGACCCAATGTTTTATATAATATTTTAAAAGATAAATTCTACTTATTAGGATTCTAGTTGTAAAAATCTACAGATGAGGGGCGAGCAGGTGGCATGGTGGTTAAGGTGCTGAACTCCAACATGGCCAACCAAGGTCTGAGCCCCAGGCCCAGAAGCATACCAGACACATGTGCATGTGGGCCCAAAATGCCTAGAGAAGGGACAGCAGTATGGTCACACCCCTGCATGTGGTTTCTCAGTCTCCTGCTCTGTGTCTCTGTCTCTCTTTGGCATATGCACACATTCTGTGGCAAAAAAAAACTAAAAAAAACTTATTTTTTTTAAAAAGATAAAAATAAAATCAGGACCAGCAGTTATCGTAATGGCTATGTCGCTGGACTCCCATTGTAGTTGACCGTGGTTCGCGTCCCGGACCGGGTGGCTTAAAACTCATGCCGGGCGCGTGTGCATGCATGCCCAAGATCCCGAGAGGAGAACAGAGGAGAAGGGATTGTGGTGTGTCCATCTCCCTTGGGGGGTGATCTCTCACTTTCTGTCTCTCTATCTGGGGAATGCAGGTGCCCTATAGCAAAAACCTCTCAAAAAAAAAAAAAAAAAGAACCAAAATGGCAACTGTGGAAATACAAGATCTGGGCCAGCCCAAAAGCAAAACAGGTAAGCACCAAGGACAACTAGATCCCACAACTGACCAGGGACTGAGTTCATGCTCTGGTGGCTCAAAGAACACAGCAGATGCAGAAGCCCGGGATCCTGACCAAAGTACAAGTACAAGAACTATAGCATGACTAGGCTCCACTGGGGGGGCTCTCTTCTTCTCTTCACTTTCTCCTTCTCCCATACTCTCTCCTGTGTGCACATGTGCCCAGGCCTCTGCCACAGATCTATGTGTGCATATACACATGTATATATCTTTATTTTACACACACTCATATATATATATATATATATTTAACTTTAAAAAAAAAAAAAAAGAAGATCTATTTTATTTATTTATTTTTTTAAATTTGCTATAGTCACTGCTGGGGGGTGGTGAGAAAGCAAGCAGCTAGGTCCACAACTCAAACCATGGTCAACCATGCGGGAGTCCAGTGCCCCAACCAGTCCGCACCATCTGCTGGCCCCTATATAACTTATTTGTTAAGAATTATTTTCTTTATTATTTTCTTTTAATTTGACCAGAGAAAGAGAGAGGGAAAACAAGAGAACAAGTCGCCAGGTCCGGGACTCAAACCATGGTCAACCATGTGAGAGTCCAGGCCCCAACCACCATCCTACCTGCTGGCCCCAGCCCCTACATAACTTCTAAACTAGTAATTTTTGTGTCTAATTCCTAAAGAAATCAAAGATGAAAACAGACTCATCGGTCCAATTTTTATTATATGCCATAAGCAGTATCAAATATAGGAAATATGCTCAGCAAACTCACCATCTGTACAACAGACTCCCTTAATCGTGTCTCTTCTTCAGTCATGAGAGTCAGTTCTTTGCACACCATGGCAGCCAGCCCCACATCTAAGCATTCTGGGTCTGCCGCCATCTTGAAAATGAGTTCCTCATGTGAAAAGACACAATGACGCCTTAGCCGTCGGTAATGACTTACACACTGACGTCCAATGGGTAGCTAAAAACAAGAGATTTCCAAATTAAATTACTTGCTTATAACACACCAGAACAGAACCACTATTTACCTTCCAGGCCTTCCTTTTTATTATAAAAAATAATAATAACAAAATCCATTTGACTGAAAGAGGCAGCTATAAATATTAACCCTTTATATCCCAACCAGAATGTCAAAGGCCTTCTCATAGGGAATTCCCGTAATCTAATCTAAGATGCTAAATTCTTGCCCTACATTGCTGACAACTCATCATAGACATCAAAAAGAAGTTCCTTGACACATAAATGAGGCAAACGACTGCAAACCATTCTGGTATGAGGCTACGTGCCTAGAGAGACAATTATAATAAAGTAAATAAAATGTTTACAAGTTCAGGCTATAGGGACCTAGGTGGAAGTATTCAGCATTCGAATTTCCACTCAAGAGAAAGAATAGTCGTTACTTAAAAAAATAACTAAATAAAAATAAAAAAAGAGGGAAACAATACTAAATGACCAATCTACAGTAGCTGACTTTTTCTTTTTCTTTTTTTTTTTTTTCATAAAAACCAAAGCAAAAGCTGATTTTAACACCTAAAAATCCCTTTAAAAATCACCACATGGCCTAGTGATTAAAGGAGTCAGACACCACATGGCTGACAACATTATTGAATTCTGTTCTGGCAGACTGAAAAACCTGCTGGGCAAGCGTACATATGTGCCCCAATTCCTGACAGGATGGAGAAAAGGAGGAGAGAGGACTGCAGCATGACCACAGCACACTGAAGGGTGCTTTCTTCCTCCTCTTCTCCCTCTTCCTCTATCTCTCTGGCAAGTACATGCATCCTCTGGCAAATTTAAAAAAAAAAAAAAAAAATTAGACTGTTTCCAAAGCGTAATAAGAAAAAAACATATTGGGACCAGCAGTTGGCGTAATGGCTATATCACTGGACTCCCATACTCCCATGTAGTGAACCAGGGTTCGAGTCCCAGATCCAGTGGCTTAAACTCATGCCGGGCACATGTGCGTACGTGCCCAAGATCCCAAGAGGAGAATAGAAGGGATTGAGGCGTGATCATCCCCACTGGGGGGTGATTTCTCGCTTTCTGACTCTGTCTCTCTCTGTCTTTCTGGCAAGCACACGTGCCCTATAGCAAAAACCTCTCAAAAAAAGAAAGAAAGAAAGAAAGAAATGTATTTATTTTATTTAGAGAGATTTTTGCTAAAGGGCACAAGCACTTGCCAGAGAGAAACAAAGAAACAGAAAGCAAGAAATCACCCCCAAGAGCGGATGGCCTTGCCACAATTCCTTCTCCTCCATTCTCCTCTTGGGATTTTGGCACACATATATGCACCTGGCATGAGTTTCAAGCCTCTAGATCCAGAACTCGAACCACGGTCAGCCACATGGGAGTCCAGCTATGTAACCACTATGCCATTTGCTGGTTCCAATAAGGAAGAAATTTAAAATTACTGGGTCAATAAGACTGTTCATTATATCATTCTACCCATAAGCCAACAAAACAAAAATAATCTCTATATGGTTAGTCATAAAATAGAATAAATTAAGGTACCCAGAAAAAAACATAAGACTCAACATTATTAAGGAATTTCACAAAAACATTACTGGGCAGAAAAACAGCATGATTGAAAGAAGAATGGGGAAAAGAAACAGCATGACTGAAAAAGAATAGGTATATATTACAAATATGCAGTCTCTTTCCAATCAATGTGACATAAACATAACTAGTGACTTCTTGGTATCTGCTTCATACAAAAGAGAAAGAGCAATCACTGGCATTATCATTCATATGGGAGTACAGCACACCGAGATGTCAGTATTACTGTTCCTCTTTAAAATGAGGGGTAAAGAAGGAATATATTAGGCCAGCCCATGGCCTAGTAGTTAAAAGGAGCTGGATTCCACAAGGCTGAACCATGGTTCAAGACCTAGTCCCAGTCCAGACCCAGTGGGAAACACACCAGCACATGTACACGCATGTTCCCAACTCCAAAAGGACGGAGAGATGGAGAAGGACCTGCAAGCGTGTCCCTGTCCCACTGGAGGTGCTTTCTCTTCTCCTCCCTTCCTTCCCTCTCTGGTGAGTGCCCAAGACCTCTGGCAAATTATTTTTACCAAAAAAAAGTAATATAAAAAACACAAATGGTAAGAAGAAAATGAAGTCAATTTTCAGTAGGAAAATTATGGCTTTTTTTTTTTTTTCATGATAGAGAAAGAGAACAAGAAGCACCCTCAACAGGATCTTGTCATGCTGCAATCTCCTTTCCCCAGTCTTCCAGCTCGCTGGGATACTGGGTACCTGCCATGTCTTCAGACCAGCCAAGGAACCCAAACCTGTGGTTGCCATGTAAGTTCCAGCCTTACAGGGCACTTCTACCACTACTGCGCCATGGTGGCTGAGGTCAATGAAGACGTATTTTAAAATAAAGAATCCCAAAGCTAGATATTGGAAAAATGTGGTAGAATTAATGCCTGATCATCTCCATAAGAACCAAAAGTACTTGGGGGAAGCAAAGACTAGAAGAAGCATACTTCCTCAGAAAAGGATTCAGAAAATATCAACTGCCCATCTAAACTTCAAATGCAATGGGGAAATGAATGAACTACACATAAAGTCTTCTAAGTAAAGACGTGATGGGAAGTCTACTTTACTTTCCAACTATAGTCACTGCAGTCTCCACTAAAATATGCATGAACCCTATCTGAGCCTAGCTAAACTGTTACGGCAACTAAGCTGCATTTTATAGAGGGGTTAGTAGACGTACAACAGCCACTTGTTATAGAACAGACCCAATCAGCAGTACAGAAGTTCACAGCTTCAGCAAAGTTGTAGCCCTGGTTAAATCCCGAGTGATAGGCACGAGGAAAGGTCACGACAAACTCGCCAGCACACTGATTGGTCCTGTACACCTAAGTGCAAATTGGGAACAGAGATGCAAAAAAATAAAAAAACAAAACAAAAAGGAGATTTTATCAGTCATAATTTCAGAAATATCTTCTAAAATTGAAAACAATAAAGACTCATTTATACATATCAGAAAACATTATCAGGGTTAAAAAGTAACCAAAATTCTACCTTCCAGAATTCTAGTGAATGAACACACCCTATAGCAAAAACTTCTAAAAAAAAAAAAAAAAATTTCCGGGATCAGCAGTTGGCGTAATGGCTATGTCGCTGGATTCCCACATAGCAACTGCGGTTCGAGTCCCAGACCTGGTAGCATAAACTCACACTGGGCACATGTGTATGCGTGCCCAAGATCCCGAGAGGAGAATGGAGAAGAAGGGATTGCGGCGTGACCATCCCCCCTGGGGGGTGATTTCTCACTTTCTGTCTCTCTGTAATCCGGAAAGGGCCAGTGCCCTCACACAAAAACCCCCCCCCCCCAAAAAAAAAAAAAAAAAACTCTGTGTTGTAAATAGTAGTAAAGAATGAAATGCTCTGGGCCAGCTGGTGGCATGGTGGTTATGGTGCTAGACTCCCACATGGCCAATTTCAACTTGAATCCTGGACCTGGTGACTTGCTTTCTCACTTTCCCTCTTGGGTGTGCTCGCACTCTCTCTCACGCTCTCTCTCTGGTAAGCACATGTGCTCTATAGTAAATTTTAAAAGTAATACTAATAATGGAACCAACAGTTAGAGTAATGGCTATGTCACTGAACTCCCATATAGTCGACCACAGTTCGAGTCCCGGACCCGGTGGATTAAAACTCACGCCGGGCGCATGTGCGTGCGTGCCCAAGATCCCAAGAGGAGAATGGAGAAGGGACTGCAGCATGGCCATCCCCCTGGGGGGTAATTTCTCACTTTCTGCCTCTCTGTCTCTCTCTTTCTGATGAGTGCACACACCCTATAGCAAAAACCTCTCCAAAACAACAACAAAAAAAGTAATACTAATTATAGTAAATAAAGTTAACTAATTCTTAAAAAAAAATAAATGAAATGCCCTACTACCTTTGGATAATTTGGGGGAAACTAAATTGATTAGCTCCAATGTCCTGAGAGAAACCCCCGAAATCAGTCTACCTGAATCTCGGTTCATTTCACATTACACATATTTTGGAAAGTCCCAGTTCAGGCCAGCAGGTGGTGCAGAGGCTGGGACAGCTGGATCCCACACAGCTGACTACAGTCTGTGTCTTGGACACGGTAGCTTGAAAAATACGACAGACCCCTGTGCATACATGCCCAGAATCCCAAGAAGATAATGGAAAAGGGATTGTAGTGGGGCTACCTCCCCTGGGGGAGTAACTTCTCACTTTTCCCATCTCTCTATCACTCTCAAATGAGCACATGTGCTCTAGAGCAAACAAACAAACCAAAAAAAAGTAGGAGGAAGGGAAAAAATCCTTAGATTCTATCATAAATTTGTTTTTTAAAGAAGGTCATAAGGGCCCAGCAGGTGGTGTGGTAGTTAAGGCAACGGATCCAACATGGCCAGCTGTGGGGTTCAGGTCCTGGACCCAGCTGCTTGAAAGTCATGCTGGGCCGGTCTCATGTGTATGCTTGCCCAAATTCCTGAGAAGAGAATGGAGAAGGGATTACAGCATGGCCACCCCCCCTAGGGAGTGACTACTCACTCACTCTCTCCCTCTCTCTCTCTCTCTAGCAAGCACACGTGCCCTTTAGCAAAAATTTAAAAAAATAAAACAAAATAGGCACCAGCAGATGACATAATGGTTACGTTGTTGGACTCTCACATAGTCGAACACGGTTCGAGTCTCAGACCCAGTAGCTTAAAAACCTCACACCGGAGCCAGTAGGTGGCATGGTGGTTAAGAGCAGTGGATTCCTACATGGCAGGCTGCGATTCAAGTCCTGGACCTGGGACCTGCTTTCTCGTTTTCCTTCTTTCTGTATGCCTCTAGGCAAATTAGAAAATAACAACAACAACAATGGAATTAAATAACTAAATAATTCTTTTTAAAAATTTTAAAAACTCACACTGGGAGTGTGTGTATGCGTGCCCAAAATCCAGAAAGATGACTGGAGGAGAAGGGGTTGTGGTGTGGCCACCCCCACGGGAGGTCATTTTCTCGCTTTCTGTCTTTCTCTCTGTCTCTCTGGTGAGTACACATGCCCTACAGCAAAACTCTCTCAAAAAAAAAAAAAAAGAAAAGAAAAGAAAGGTAATACTATGGATATTAACCTACTTTCTAATTTAAGGTTATAATGGGTATTTGGTTACCCTCCCCATTACCAAGCTTACTAAATTTATACTTTTATCATGTGTCAACAGATAAGTTTAAAAGCATTTCAAAGTTAAGTTAATGTAAAAAAGGTATTCATAGTATATTTTTACTTATCTCATATATTATAAGCTGTGAAATATTTACATGAAAAAAATAAGGATAAGAATTTATAAGAGCTACCACTTAAAATACCTACCTACATTTTAGTTAAGTTAGATCATAATTAACATGAGATTTTTGTTCAAACCAGGAGGCAATGATTTACTGAAAACAAAAGGCTATTTTACTAAATAAATAGCTTATACAGACAGTATAATTCACATTTTAAAGCAACTCTTCCTAATTAGATAACAGTTGTTCCCTTCAGAGAATAAATTTTCATTTCACTTCCAGTTAGTTACGAAAGCTTACACTATAATTCTATCTACTCAAAACCTAAAATAACTAAGTTCAAAGCAGCGAAGGGAGACAAACACTCACAGGCACGCCGTGCTCCATCAGCACGTTGGGGTTCATGATGGTGACTAACTGGTGCAGGAGGTCAGGCTGCGACTCAAACAGCTCAGGAGCCAGCTCCCGCATCACCTCCTCCAGCTGCTCTGCAGCATGAGAGGGCACACCGTACCACGTCTTTGGCTCCCCCCTGGGAAAGAAAGAACTGCTCAGCTAGGTAGGATGTGGGACAGAGGAGGCCACGGATTCTGGTCCAAACCTGCTCAAGTATAATCAAACTGGACTTATACCATGGTCACGGATGATATTACCCTGAATCCTAGAAACCACCTCATGAACTTGTGCTGTTGTTCAGGTGGTAAGGTAAGAAAGGTACATATATACTTATCTCTACTATTAAAAAGGCAACCCCAAACTCACAAACTCTTTAACTGATAACAGGATCATCGAACGGGAAGAAGAGTCTATGAAAAGTAAGCACTGGCTAGTCCTGTAGCCAAGCAGTTAAAGCACTACATTCCACATGGCTGACTGCACTTTGAATCCTGGTCTAGATGACTTGAAAAAATGCTGGGTATTGTAGGTGCATGCTCCAAATCCTGAGAGGACAGAGAAATGGAGGAATAGGGATTGCAGTATGACTGAATCTCACTGGGAGTTGCTTTCTCCCTCTCTCTCTGGCAAGCACATAGGCCCTCTGGCAATAAAAAAAAAAAAATACAAAAGGAAGAAAAATGTTTTAAAAATAGAATTATTCTTTTTAAATAGTGGGGGGGGGGAACTAATCAAGCATTGGTCCAAAGAATACTGACATACTAGCTTTTTTGCTTTGGAGAGATTTTTGTTATAGGGTGTGTGTGCTTGCTGGAAAGACAGAGGCAGAGAAAGTGAAAAATCCTCCCTTAGGGGAGGATGGCCATGCTGTATGTAATACCTTCTCCTCCATTCTCCGCTCAGAATTTTGAGCACATACTCACACATGCCCAGTGTGATTTTCAAGTTACTGGGTCTGGGACTAGAACTATGGGGTGCATGCTCCAAATCCTGAGAGGACAGAGAAATGGAGGAATAGGGATTGCAGTATGACTGAATCTCACTGGGAGTTGCTTTCTCCCTCTCTCTCTGGCAAGCACATAGGCCCTCTGGCAATAAAAAAAAAAAATACAAAAGGAAGAAAAATGTTTTAAAAATAGAATTATTCTTTTTAAATAGTGGGGGGGGGGAACTAATCAAGCATTGGTCCAAAGAATACTGACATACTAGCTTTTTTGCTTTGGAGAGATTTTTGTTATAGGGTGTGTGTGCTTGCTGGAAAGACAGAGGCAGAGAAAGTGAAAAATCCTCCCTTAGGGGAGGATGGCCATGCTGTATGTAATACCTTCTCCTCCATTCTCCGCTCAGAATTTTGAGCACATACTCACACATGCCCAGTGTGATTTTCAAGTTACTGGGTCTGGGACTAGAACTATGGTTGGCTATGTGAGAGTCCAGCACCTTAACCCTATACAACCTGCTGGCCCCCTGACACAGTACCTTTACTCACAGGTCCATCAGACATTCTAATTAGTCGTACAGGGATCGAAGTCAAAGGCAAAGTCCTCTAGAATACCTATAAGAAACTTGGCTGAGTTCCACTTTACTACGTGAGGAAATAATCTAAGGCTAAAACGACTGAGCCTTGAAAACAGGTTTGTCTACAACCCTCAAGGACAAAGGACATGGCGCCATTACCCACCATACTTAGGACGCGAATTCACTCAGAATACTAAGTTGCATTCCTAGGAAATGTATATAATTAGGCTATTTATAGAATATATGTATTTTTCTCTCACTCTTTTTAACTTTTTAAATTGCCAGAGGGTGCATGCACTTGCCAGAGACAGCCGGGGGAGGGGGAATACTCCCCAATGGGGCAAGGTCATGCTGCAGTCCCTACTCTTCCATTTCCCCATCCTGTCAGGGTTTTGGACACACATCCGCATGCACCCAGTGGGTTCTACAAGCTGCCAGGGACAAGATTCAAACCATGTGATTGGTCATGTGTGATCTGGATCCCTTAACCACTAGACCACCGAGTCAGCCCAAGACTAGCTGTATTTCTTAATCCTCACACAATTCACAAAACCATAGAACAGTGGTATCCCCAACAGAACATAGTCCAACAATTCTCTGTGCTGGTCAAGACAGGGGCCTCTAATCACATAACTGTAAAGCACTTAAAATATAGCTAGTGCAAATGAGGAAATAAATTTCAATTTTATTTAGTCTTATCCAAGTTAAATTGCCACATGTGGCTAGTAGCTACCATATTACCAGAACAGAAATGACACACAGCAAGAAAATCACTTAAGTTTTCCAATGCATAGTATGATCTGATCATACCTTCGAAATGGAGAGAAAAATCACACCTAGTTAACACACAAGACTGAGCAAGGGCCTTGCAAATTCATCAGAGGAGGGGGTAAGTGGGCTGTTCTCCTGTCTGAGTAACCCAGTACTGTGCCATGAACAGAATCCAGTAATAAACAGGGACAGATGCACGTGAGAAAAAGAAGGCAGCAGTAAGTTGGGAACCAGCAGTTAGCGTAATGGCTATGTCGCTGGACTCCCATGTAGTCGACCGCGGTTCGCGTCCCAGACCCGGTGGCTTAAAACTCACGCTGGGTGCGTGTGCATGCATGCCCAAGATCCCGAGAGGAGAATGAAGAAGGGACTGCGGTGTGACCATCCCCCCTGGGGGTGATTTCTTGCTTTCTGTCTCTATGTCTCTCTCTGGCGAGCGCACGCGCCCTATAGCGAAAACCTCTAAAAAAATAAAAAAAATTTAAAAAAAGACAATCTATGTTGGAGGCTTCACTGCAGCTTACGTCACATAATCACATTAATTTAGAAGATAAAATCCAGGATTTAAAGAAGAAAGTTTGAAAATGAAAATTTCAAGTTAAAAGTTACAGTCCAAAAGCAACCAAATAAAATTCAAGAGCTTCAGAAGAACCAGGCTGAGGATGGAAAGGAACAATTAAAGAAACTTACTGAGCTAAAACAATCTCTGGAATAGAATTTGGATCAAGAAATAAAGAAAAATGGTGAATTAGAGAAAGAGATAACTGGACGTAAGAAACTCTTGGAAATGACAAGAAAGAAATGAAATGAATATGAAAATGGAGAAATTAGTTTCCAAGGAGATTTAAAACCCCGTCAATCTGAAATGGATATTCAAGTTAATATGCAAAAGCATAAGGCACAAGAAGTAGCTCAGGAAAACTCAGAGCAGTTAAAAGCGAATAATTATGCTTCAGATGGAACTCAGAATGAGAGAACTAGAATCTGGACTCCTTAAAATAAGAGCTTCTCAAGAAGATTCTAATAGAACAGAATTAGAAAAATATAAGCAACTCTGTCTAGAAAAATCACAAGCTAGAAAATCATTATCCGAGAAACTGGCAAAGACTGATGAGAAGTTAGCAGCCGTCAGGGCCAGACGTCTTGTGGAGAAACAGCGGAACAGACCTTTACTCAGCAGTCTTACTACGAGACCAGCCTAGAATCACCTCCTCTTGGAAAGCCTGATAATAGTTTAGTGTACAGCAGAAATCGCATTTCAAGGGAAACTTCAGTGCCTCCTCGCTCAATTTCCAGACCTCCGAATAACAGCATGGAGAACGACGTGTCCCAGACACAACTGGGATTGTTAAGAAATGTAAGTGGAGAACCACGTGGGGTTGCTACTGAATTTGCATCTTTACCCTAGAGCTTCTCCTCAAAGATCTGATGAGTGAAAGTGAACTTAAGATTTACTTTCGAGGGACCAGCAGGTGGCGTGGTCTTTAAGGCGCTGGACACTCCCACATGGCTGACCAGGGTTCAAGTCCTAAATCTGGTGGCTTGCTTTCTCACTTTCTCTCTCTCTCTCACTCTCACCCTCTGTCTCTCTTTGGTCAAATTAAAAATAAATAAATAAATAAATAAATAAATAAAAATAAATGAATGAATGAATGAATAAAATAAATAATTATTTTTAAAAAAATGTTTTACTTTCCAGAGCATCATAAGAATATGGACAGATACCAAAGAAAAATTACATGATATGAAAGATAAAATTTTATTGACTAGATTATTTAAATAACCTTTTTCATTGTTTTCCATTAAACGTGTGACATATAAAAAAAGAAAAGACTGGGCAAGGAACTGGTCAAGTAAATAAAAACTGTGGGTTAGATAAAAGAAATTAAGCAAAAGAATTCAGCAAAAGAATTTAATGATGGTACATATAACTTACATATTTTTAGGGAAAATATAACTAATTTTTTCCTGTTTTTATTGCCAGAAGGCCCATGAGAGAGAGTTATTAAGAATAAAAAATTATTTGAAAATTTCAAATACCGGGGACAGCAGCTGGCGTGGTGGTAGGGGTGCTGAATTCCCACATGGCCAACCGTGCTTAGGTTCCTGGACCTGGCTGCTTGCTTTCTCACTTTCCCTCTATCTCTCTGTCTCTCTCTGGTGAGTGTGCATGCTCTATAGCAAATTAAAAAACAATAATAAATACAATTAAATAAAGAATTCTTTTTAAAATTGTCAAATAATGAATGTTAGTCAAGACCTTAATTACATAAATTTGAAATATCCTATCTCGAATACCAAAGTAGTAACAACAAAGTAATGTTCATGTAGGCTGAACAAGCACCATTTGGTCTACACTTGAAGGTCTGCTCTGTGAACATACTTCAAAATGAAAGGTGTCCTAAGAGCTCCTCCATCTCCCCAATATAGGGTAGACAATACTTCTAAAGTGAGTTTTCCCTAACGTATCAGCTGCTATTATAACTTTTAACAGGTCTCTACGGAGTAAGCTGTACCAAAGACTGTACCCACCAGTGTAAGTAGTTAATAGAGTAACTCCAGTGATCTTCGATGTGCCAGCAAAAGGAGGAAAAGCACATCCCCACGTAGAGCCACGGCACCTTCATACCAGAGATGTCCACGTTAATGTGTGCAAGAACAGACTGCTCCAGCACCGGCATGTTGTTCAAATTCCACCCCGAGAGTGCGTACTCCTATACAAGAAAGCACACATGAACAAAGGATCAGAAATGACAAGCACACGCCGGAAATTTCTAAGTTTTTCAAAAATGTAAAAACTTTATATTTATAATAATCTAGTCCATAAAAATCTCCACTCTTTGCTCTTTGCTCTCTACTATATGTAACTCAATATCTAATCCTATCTCCTGTCAAGACTGTATTTAGATTTCCCTTTATTTCAGACACCTCTGATTTTTCCCAAAGCACATAGGAAGCGCTTCTTAGTATTCCCCAACCACCAATAAAATAGAGACCTATTTCAATAGGTTGCTCTTCCATTTCTACTTTATCCTCCTAAGTTCACTAAATGTTATTAGTATCTTTATGGAATGGTGCTAGATATTGTGAAGACAAAACACAGTGGGATGGGGCTAGAAGGTGGCATGGTGGTTAAGGGCGCTAGACTCCCCACATGGCTGACCCAGTTCAAGTCCTGGACCTGGCGACTTGCTTTCTCTCTCTCGGTCACTCGCTCTGTTCCTCTCTGCTCAAATTACAGTAAGTAAATAAAGGGGCCAGCAGGTGGCGTGGTGGTTAGGGTCGCTGGACTCCCACATGGTCAACCAAGGTTCAAGTCTGGGACCTGGCGGCTTGCTTTCTCACTTTCTCTCTCTGTCCCTCTGTAGTCAAATTAAAATAAATAAATACATAAATAAATGAAGTTCAATAAAATAATTCTTAAAAAAAAAAAAGTAAATAAAAAATTAAGTTAAATAAATAATTCTTTAAAAAACACAATGATGGGACCATCAGTTGGCTTAATGGCTATATCGCTGGACTCCCATGTAGTTGACCATGGTTTGAGTCCCAGACCCAGTGGCTTAAACTCACACCAGGTGCGTGTGTGTGCATGCCCAAGATCCCAAGAGGAGAATGGAGGAGAAGGGACTGCAGCGTGGCCTTACCCCCTGGAGGGTGATTTCTCGCTTTCTGTCTCTCTGTCTCTGTCTTTCTGGCGAGTGCACATGCCCTATAGCAAAAACCTCTCCCAAAAAAACCAGTGATATGCAAAATCATAAATGTGTAGCAACACCGAAGAAAGATACAACACAGAAAGTCACCACCACTATCACTTACTACACGGACAATTAGAAATGTTAAAATATAAAATAACTTGTTTCACGGATGAATTCAAAAGAGAAAGGAATGACCAATTTCTAGAAAGTGAAAGGAAGCAAAGCCTGAATGAGAGAGTAACGTGCTGCAGCTTCCTTAACTACTGCAGACGCAGGCACTGAAGATTAAATGTCAAACACCCATCCCTGAAGCTAGCAGAACTCTGTAGAGACCTGTGACGCCTTTCACTCTCATGGAGAGCAGTTCTCACAGAGCCCAAGGGTCTGCAACACCGAACTAATTTCAAAATAATTCTAAGATGTTATTTGCCTTTGTCATGTACATTCTTGCTCAAGTGCAACATGAATTCTCATAGGAAATAAGGTAAGTGATGTCACAAGAGTAAATTCATCCACCTTCTATTAGAAGTTCAAACTGAACCTACATGCTAGGTACTGAGACAGTGAGGAAAGTGGGCATTACTATACTTAGTTTAGAAACTGCTATAGCAAAACCAAAGAACATAGAACAAAACAAAAACACAAAAGGAAGAGGGTTTGATAGTCAATGACAAAGCTAGAGAGAATCTGTGAACCACTGTAACTTTTTTGTTGGTGGGGGGGGAGATTTTTGCTATAGGGAATGTGTGCTCACCAGAGAAACAGAGACAGAAAGATAGAAAGCAAGAAATCACCCTCTAGGGGGATGGCCACATTGCAGTCCCTTCTCCTCATTGTTCTCTCAGGATTTGGGGCATGCACACAAACACGCTGGGCGTGAGTTTTAAGCCACTGGGTATGGGACTCAAACCACAGTTGACTATGTGGGAGTCCAGTGACATAATCACTATGACATCTGCTGGTCCCAAACCTGTGAACTATTATAGAAGATAGGTCTGAGAAAACTGTCCATTAAGCAGAGATATGGAGATAGATGGGAACTAAACAAGCATAGTTAAGGTTTCAGACGATTGCTCATAATGCAGGGAGATAGAAACTACAAGAGCATAATCAAGAACCATGGAGTGGGACCAGCTGGTGGCATGGTGGTCAAGACACTAGATTCCTTACATAGATGACCACAGTTCAAGTCCGAACTTGGCAGCTTGCTTTCTCACTTTCTCTTTCTCTCGCTCTCTCGCTCTGCCTCTCCGGTAAGTGTACATGCCCTATGGCAGATTAAAATAATAATAGGGGCCGGCAGATGGTGTGGTGGTTAAGGGTGCTGGACTTCCACATGACTGATCCTGGTTTGAGTCATGGACCTAGCAGCTTCCTTTCTCACTTTCCCTCTCTCTGTCACTGTCTCTCTCTCTCCAGCGAGCACACGTGTGTCCTACAGCAAAAACCTTTAAAAAAAAAAAAAGAACAGGACGAACCTGAGTTGAGCTTCCAAGGATAGATTAGATCTGAATAAACATTCTAGGAGGCAAACCTACAAGAATTTAAAAGGTAAATTACAGAGAGAAGGGATATATTTCTCAGTCTGCGCAGGGGGCACAGTCAAAGAGTCATACTCAGAAATACAGGAAATAAGAATAAAAAGAGGGGACCAATAAATCAAGTGGCGGCTGGGACACTGGACTCCCACATGGCTGACCACAGTTTGAGTCCCAGACCTGGCAGCTTGCTTTTATACTTTGTCTTTCCCCTTCTTTCTCTGGTCAAATTAAACAATATTAAGGGGTTAGCAGGTGGTATGGTGGTTGAAGTGCTGGATTCCCACATGACTGACAAGTTGCGAACCGGGCAGCTTGCTTGCTTTCTCTCTTTCTCTCTGGTCAAATTAAATTATAATAATAAATAAAATGTAATAGAAAAATTAAAAAATAAATAATAAGATAAATCTAAAAAGCAAGGTCATTTTCTATGCAAAGGCTAAATTGGAGGTGAGCAGAAGTCTAGAAATACTATCTGTTAGGACCAGCAGTTAGCGTAATGGCTATGTTGCTGGACTCCCATGTAGTCGACCGTGATTCGCATCCCGGACCCGGTGGCTTAAAACTCACGCTGGGCACATGTGCGTGCGTGCCCAAGATCCCGAGAGGAAAACGGAGGAGAAGGGATTGCAGCATGACCATCCTCCCTGGGAAGTGACTTCTCGCTTTCTGTCTCTGTCTGACGAGTGCACGTACCCTATAGCTAAAACTTCTTCAAAAAAAAAAAAAAGAAAATACTATTCGTACCTCCTCTTCTGGCAGCATCTTTCTCCGGCCATCCTTCACAGGAAATCCACTTCCAAAGTCTTTTGAGGAGATATCTGCTCCATACTCTACAATAACATCTTCTTCGATGCTGCTCACCAGCCGCCAGAATTCCTTTTCTACTAGTTCTGTGGGAACCATCTATATGGGAAAAGCAAAGATGACTGATTATTAATGCACTATAACATAATGCACAAAGGTCAAGCTGAACATAAACCCATGATGAAATGAAAAACATCCTAACTTCCCAGAGCAGAAATGGTTGGGATCCTAGCTTTTTCCATGTGAGCTGGTAACAGCCAAAGACAGCATGAATGTTCAGAGAAAATTACTTAAACTGCCTTTTTCTCAAAGAAGCTGATTCCCAACTGTAAGGATAGAGTATCAAGGAAGAAGAGAGAAATAAAAACAACAAGGCTGAATATTTTTTTTAAAGAATTATTTCGTTTTTTATTTATTCATTCATTTATTTCATTTTTTTATTTTGACCAGAGAGGGACAGAGCAAGAGAGAAGGAGAGAGTGGGAAAGTGAAAGAGCAAGCCTCCAGATCCAGGACTTGAACCGTGGTCGGCCATGT